AACAGGTGCAAAATGGACTCTCTTAGGCAAAGTGATTGATTCCCTTTTGGTGAGATCGATCGATGGTTTAACAAAGCAAGCGAACAAAATGTGATCCATCTCTCAACGATTGCCCGGAATGATTTTTAGTGCAAAAACAAGTAATCGATATGTGATTGATCGGTCAGTGATCATTTTATAAAATATTTTGGTCCAATATCGATCCCTTTTCTAGTTTTTCAACAATACTTTCTTTAAATGGTTTTAATTACTAAATTTCTATAAGAAAAAAAAAAAAAAGACTTCTTGTCACGCCCCAAACCCGCCCCTAGAAGTTTGGGCATGACCACTTCAGAAACAGACACTTAACCTGTTATATATAATATATGGGGCCTGAACGGAAGCATTAAATTTGTCAAAATTTGACAATAGAAACAAACTCCATTGAGCTACTACTATCATGCCAGGATCACAAACTTTAAACAGACAAATAAAATCTAAAACATACACCTGAATATCGGATATACGCACGTATACATAGGCCCAGCTCTATAATTGGGCATACACCAAAAACGTTTCGGAAGAAAGTATTATACACATTTCAACCTTAGGCCAACAACTAGAGTGCAAAACCAAAGTTCGTCAAAACTTCATGAAAATAAGAGCAGCTTCTCTTAGGCTTGGACATGGAAAGGTTGACCAAAGAGGACAGGCATCATGGCTTAGGACTGACCACTTGGTTGGTTACCTACAGAAACAGACATAACATAGGGTGAGCCAAGCTCAGTGAATAGTATGATACATAAATGCACAATTTAAACATAATACATAACAATGCATAAATAAATGCGAAGATCATGTAGTTAATCTGTTCCTGTTTTCATTTTAAATGGCCTTAGGCCCCAATCGTGAGTCATAATGGTTTTAAGCCCTTGAACACATTAACATTAAACTTTTAAACATAATGGCATATAGCCCTTGTATACATGGCATGAAGCCCTTGTCAGAACGACATAAAGCCTTTATCAGAATGGCATAGAGCCCCTGAAACATATTGGCATTTACGCCCTTGAAACATATTGGCATTAAAGCCCTTGAAACATATCGGCATTAAAGCCCTTGGACATGCATATATGAACCCAAGAGGTGTCTCACACGGACTATAGAGGTAACTTACAATGTAACACTTAGTTCTGTGTAGCACTTTGTTTCATTTCATAACAACTTATACAGATGGCCATGAGCCTCATAACTTTCACAGAATGGCTTTCAGCCTCATAATTTTCACATATGTATGGACTCAAGAGGTGTCTCACATGAACTCTAGCGGTGGCTCACAATGTAGCACTTAGTTCCAAGTAGCACTTTGTTCCATACAGTAATTAATAGGTTTTCCAAACCAAACCGTACATATCATGTCATATCATAAACGGAAACAAATCATACATATTCGTTATGCTTGAATCATAAACAGAAATCAGAAGTCATATTCGTTACATACTTGAATTTGTAACACCCATGGACTTGTAACATGCGTAAACTTGTAACAAACTTAAACTTAGAACATACATAAACTTGTAACATACCTATGCTTGTAACATGCTTAAATCTATAACATACTTAAACTTGTAACGTACATAAACTTGTAACTTAATTATTTAAACCACAGTATTATTACCCCCGGTAAGGACCACATGCTAAGGATATCATGAATTCATTAATTCAAACGTAACAAATCATAACTAGAGCATTTCTTGATTATTTAGACTTGTTGGCCTTTAGCTCTTACATGTATTGGCATTAAACTTGTTGGCATTTAGCCCAAACATTATCATAGCAAACTTATTTCAGAGTCTTACAGAATTCCAGAATCATAGGAGGGTTGTTTCATTCTTTCTCTTACTTATGTACTTTCCTTGAATCATTTACACAAACACATAACATTTATCTTCCTTGAATCATTTATATATATATATACATATAACATTTATCTTCCTTGAATCATTTATATATATATAACATTTATCTTCCTTGAATCATTTATATATATATAACATTTATCTTCCTTGAATCATTTATATATATATAACATTTATCTTCCTTGAATCATTTATATATATATAACATTTATCTTCCTTGAATCATTTATATATATATAACATTTATCTTCCTTGAATCATTTATATATATATAACATTTATCTTCCTTGAATCATTTATATATATATATACATATAACATTTATCTTCCTTGAATCATTTATATATATATAACATTTATCTTCCTTGAATCATTTATATATATATAACATTTATCTTCCTTGAATCATTTATATATATATAACATTTATCTTCCTTGAATCATTTATATATATATAACATTTATCTTCCTTGAATCATTTATATATATATAACATTTATCTTCCTTGAATCATTTATATATATATAACATTTATCTTCCTTGAATCATTTATATATATATATACATATAACATTTATCTTCCTTGAATCATTTATATATATATAACATTTATCTTCCTTGAATCATTTATATATATATAACATTTATCTTCCTTGAATCATTTATATATATATAACATTTATCTTCCTTGAATCATTTATATATATATAACATTTATCTTCCTTGAATCATTTATATATATATAACATTTATCTTCCTTGAATCATTTATATATATATAACATTTATCTTCCTTGAATCATTTATATATATATATACATATAACATTTATCTTCCTTGAATCATTTATATATATATAACATTTATCTTCCTTGAATCATTTATATATATATAACATTTATCTTCCTTGAATCATTTATATATATATAACATTTATCTTCCTTGAATCATTTATATATATATAACATTTATCTTCCTTGAATCATTTATATATATATAACATTTATCTTCCTTGAATCATTTATATATATATAACATTTATCTTCCTTGAATGAAATTCCTCACTAGATCATTCAATACATCCTTCCAACTCATTTCAACACAAGAAACAACAATTTAATTAACCATTGAACATCATAATATAAGGGGATTCTTTCTCAATTCAAAGAGGAGGATTAATCAATAAGGATTAGACTTACCTTGGGTTAAATTCTCTACTAACCCTCTAAGTTTCTTCAATTCCATCCTTGGAGAACTCCCTTTTCCCCTCCACTCTTTTCTTTCCTCTCTCTCTCTCAAGAGATTGTTTTTGTATGGCTTTTTAAGTCAAAGAAATGAAGCATATAAACATATATGTCTAAAAAATGAGTAAAGACAAAATTTAATCAGTTTAATCATCCCTAATCAAATTTCTACAAAAATGCTTATTATTATTTAAAAATTATGCTGATCTCAGATGTAAAATCAATTTCAGGTAATTAAGCCTCTAAAGCTTCCAATTTTTGATCTGAACATCATAATTGTGACAAATATGCTTTCTTATTAAACAGATATGGATCTATAATTATAAGGTTCACATAATTAAACTTAATTTCTCATAAACTTTCACAATAAACATTTAAAGACATAGAATAAAGGGACTGAAAATATATCAGAACACATGTACGAGGGTCGGGTTATTACACTTCTCCTAACTGTGAGAGCCAAATAAATGGGCCAAATTCAAGGCACATCCAAGCCCATCATTGATGGGCCAAATTCAGCCAAGGCCCATTGAACTTAAGCAATTCCATGCTGAGTGGATCCAAATAGGTGGAAGCATGTGCCGAGTGCGAGATGGAGAGCTAATTAGTGTTGGGGCTAAGTAGTGGAGTAAGGTCGACATATTAGTCCACCTGCATGAAGGTCTTTGAATTTCGACCCGATAACTTCTTCTTTACCGTCAACCTCTGCAGAGGATGCCATGCAAACCTTGATAAACCAAGTAAAGCATAATGAATAGCGCTTAGAAGACATGGCAGCTGAGAATGAACATCTACGTCAAGAATTAGCAAAGTCTCAGCAAATACCACCACGTTGTGAACGAGACCAATTGTAAAAAAGAGAGTAAGGCAGCAACGTCAGCCTCAGGAGTGTGATGTTAGTAGCAGCACAACGAATTCATCTTGGGAACAACCCAGAAAACGGAACCGGGATGACGACCTTAATTCCTCTGATGAAGGGAATTCTTAGCAAGCACGATGCATGCGAAAAAAAAAAGTTGATGATTATGATATGGGGGATAGGCATGATCTTTTCGTCTGACGAATAACATAGGTCGTCTTGCTTAAGAAGTTTAAGGCATCGTCATTCACCCTTTATGACAGAAAGTCGGATCCCACTAATCATGTACGACATCACAAGCAAGCCATGACGTTGTATGTAGATGATGAAGTGCTTATGTGCCGTATCTGTCCCAGCAGTTTAGGACCTCTGGCTATTAGGTGGTATTATAAGTTTGAACCGGCTTCAATCAAAAGCTTCCATTAGCTCCAAAAGTCCTTTTGGGCCAAATTCATCACTAATGAAAACACAACCCAAGCAAGCAGATTCTTTGTGGGCAACAAAGATTGGACCAAATGAAACATTATGTGAGTGCTCGATGCGTTATTGAGAATGTTTTAATTTGGTGGATGACAATTGCAATGACTCTATGACAATTACAGTTTTCAAGATGGAACTGGATCTAAATAGCCCACTCTAGAGTTCCTTGACTTGGAGGCTCCCGAAGTCAGTTTGGGCTTTGATGAAGAAGGTGGAGGAATATTGTAAAGTGAACGATGATGCACTCTGGGTTAAAGCTGGGCTTCAAATTACAGAATCGGCAACCCCTGTCTTGGTCGTTGTGCCTCCGAGCAGAGCCACACCGTAGAGAAGAAGCCCAGAGCTGAGGAGAAGGTCTAGAAGAGACAAGCACCGAGACTCGTGCCAACGCAATGAACAATATCAAGTAGACACCAGACGTCCACATCGGTCAGACAAGAAGTATGCTAAATTCTCTGAGCCAATTGCATAGATTCTTTCAAAAATCAAGCATCGCACCTTCTTTAAATGGCTGACTAAGATGTCTGGGCCCCCAAACATGAGAAGGAAGGATCAAAGATTTGAATATCACAAAGATCACGACCATGTGATTGACAAGTGTTATGCCCTTAAAGATCCTCTAGAAGATTTGGTTTGGGATGGCCACTTGACTGATTATTTACCAAAAAAGGTTATGCCGGCTAATGAATTGACCATTTGTCATGAGCCTTCTCCACTCGGCGTGATTCATATGATATACAACATCCCATCCTTGAACAGGGTCGACACGTCCAGTCATATCCGACACTAGTCTCCCCTTAACTGTGTTCTGGATCAAATATGCAACGAAAATGGCAATGGGTTACCAACCAATGAATCAATTTTTCTGATGTGGATCTAGTAGGGCTAACCTTCCCTCACGACGATGCTCTGGTTATTGAATTGCAAGTGAATCAGTTTGCCATAGAACCCGTTTTTGTTGATCAAGGAAGCACTTCAAAAATTATGTATTATAAGACTTTCCTTAAGATCAGCCTCAAAGATATGGACCTCAAACCAGCCGATTATCCTTTTTTTGGCTTTAATGCCAATCCTGAATATCCTTTAGGCAAGATTGTGTGTGCTGGACCTGGACACTAAACGTGGAATTCCTAATTGTCAAACTTCCTTCCTCCTACAACATGATCATGGGCCGAACTTGGCTCCACGCAATGCACGCCGTGCCAAGTACTTATTGCCAAGTCCTGCGATTTTTGACTGAATTTGGCATTGAGCAAATTCGTGGGTCTCAAAAATCGACTAAGGATTCTTATCTTACAGCCTTAGCCAAAAAACCGAAGGAACTTGAGGTTAACTCCATGGAGGTTCCAGACCAAGAAAGTCTTGAAGAAGTGAGGAACATTCCGGCAGAGAAAGTGATTGAAGATTTAGAGTGGGTTTTGATCCCTGACGATCTCGAGAAGTTCTTTCTTGTTGGAGTAATCCTCAGCATTGAAAAGCGGTAGGACTAGTAGCTTTTCTTCTCGACAACATTGATATCTTTACATGGACCACGTATGACTTGCCCGGGGTCAATCTAGAGGTGGTTGTGCATCGATTGAATATAGACCCAAAAGTGAAGACTTTCATTCAAAAGTGCCACTGATTTGCTACAGTGCACGCTAGCGCCATTGTTAAAGAAGTTGATTGGAAGCTAGGCAATTCAAAAAGTCACTTATCCTACATGACTGTCTAATATTGTGGTTGTGAAGAAGAAGAAGGGAACATGACGAGTTTGTATTGATTTTACGGATCTGAATAAGGTTGGTCCAAAGGACTATTTTCCTTTTCTCCTCATTGACTAGCTTGTGGATGCCACAGCTCATCATCAGCGAATGAGTTTTTTAGATGCGTATTTGGGCTATTATCAAATTTCCATGGACCCTACTAAATAGGAGAAAATGACATTTTTCACTCCAAGGGGAACCTATTGCTATAAGGTCATGCCCTTTGGATTGAAAAAAGTCGGGGCAACTTACCAGAGATTGGTCATCACCATGTTCAAAGATTAGCTTGGCAAAACTATGGAAGTGTACGTTGACGATATGGTGGTGAAATCCAAACAAAAAAGTTCTCATTTGGCCGATCTTGCCACAACTTTTGATATACATCAGAAGTACAAGATGAAACTTAACGCCTCAAAGTGTGCATTCAACATTAGTTCAGGCAAATTCCTCGGCTGCATCATAAATCATCGCAAGATAGAAGCCAATCCCAAGCAGATTAAGGTTATCATGGAACTCAGCTTGCCTAGGTTTATTAAGGAAGTCTAGAAATTGATGGGTATGACAGCAACACTTAATAGATTTATTAGCCAATTGTAGACGTGCCCCGAGGACTTTCGAGCTCCGCGCTGCAAGGGCACGAAATCTTGTGTTGTTCTCTAGGCTACTACAGTTCGGACTCAATGTCACGATTTTGAATCTAATCTCACAATATGCGATGTAAGATCGATAAATCACCAAAGAGTTCAAATCCGACAAATCATTTTGGAAAATTGATTTTTAATAAAGAAGTGCCAAACATGGACTGCTTTGCCAGATACAGAGTCGCCACCTAAATATTTTATTTTGGGAGAATTTAGGAAACCTTGACTCGTGCCTAAGGCCACGTGTCCTTCATCACCAAAGTTGCCTCGGCTCGGAAACTTGGGTACGAGAGGGGAAGGTCATGTAATGAGCACCCCCGCTCGCCCAATCGAAGATCGGCCTGTGCTAAGCATGATATTTTGTTTTTGAAAACACATGTGCTCTTATTCCGGTTATTAACCTAGAATTACTATGTTATGCGCACAACAAACAAGTATAGACTAAATCGCCTAATTTGGAACAAAATATTGCATGTTTGTTTGTGAGAATGGTTTGAAGTTCGCTACTCGTGAGTAGACTAAAACACGGATTTTTATGAATTGTTCCAATTCAAGTAATCCAGCCTTCACCCATAGGCATTCAGGCAGTTATAGCAAATAAGCAATTAGCCTCATGACAAGCATGCTTTCATGGCAGTATTAACACATATGCAATATGCTAAAGCGTAAACACTCACAGTGTACTCCGAGCCAAAACAGAGAACTAGTTAGAAATCATGCATGATCCTAGTTCATGTTAAGATGGCTAATGCAACACATGCAAAAATGCAGCTAAAATAGGCTCAGCTATTCTAGAATGTCATGTGAAATGCAACTTGGTACACGTATTCAACTTTGAATCGAAATACAATACAGTTAGTATGATGCGCCGAGCCTGGTGCATGCAATACAGATGAATGGATGTACGCATGCAAGCATAAGGTATACTAAATGAAATATGCCCTAAAACTAACCATCGTAAGCGGTTAAGTAAAAGGGAGAAAGAAATGGGGGCTGAAAGACATGCATCACACACACGCACGCTTATTATAACAATTGGCCCTCTCGACGGAGGGACCGAATAAGAAGCTAACTAGCTAATCTAAGCTAATTAAACTAATTATTACAAAACAAACTAATTAACTAATCCTAGTTAACTAATTATTACAAAACAAATTGAAATAGCTAAACGCATTAACTATTAAAGTATAAAACGAATGCCTAATCTAGCTAGGTAGAGAAGCTAAATAAAGCAGTAAAATAGGAGGTTCTCAGAAGGAGAAGACTGGATGCATGCTTGGTCCCCTCGTTCGGAAATCTGTCGTGATGCCCCAATTTGCCTCTGTTTGCAATTGTCCTCAGAACCTTGCACCAAGCTCCAGAAAGCTTCCAACTTAACTTGGAGACCTGTGGGAGGTTGGCCGACCACCTAGGGATGTCACTAGCCACTGGCCGATCACTTTCTATGCTGTGAACCAGAAAAAGTGGTCGGCCAACTAGTTTTTTTGGTTGGCCGACCAGTTGTTGCTGCAAAACTCTAATTTTCTGCAACAGAGAGCAAGAGAGGGCATGTCAATGTATTTGCAAGATATGTGTGCACAACCACCCTCCCTATCATTTCATAAGCTCAAGGGAGTGTGGTTCTCGACCCTCGGGCCACCAATCAGGCATCTCGATGCATGATGGCCGAGAGGCGAAGTTGCACAATTCGATATGAAATGAATGCACACATAAACACATAAAGCCTAAAACTCTATCATACTTGGTCAAGGGCGTCAGCGGCCGAAAATTGAGGCACGTTTCATCACTCTAAATATGAAACGTCCCTTGTCCCTTGTTTCTTGTGCTCGGATCAACACTTAATCCAAACACAATGCAAGCAAATAACATGGCATACACAATGCAACAACAACTGGCATACGCAATGCAATGTAAGATGAACAACCTAACAAAGCTAATGACATGCGAACAATGCTAATGCATGCATGCACAATGCAATGCTACAAGGGAAACTTAGCAATGTTAGGAATATGCATACTCAATGCAAAGAAACAACTTGGCATACACAATGCAAATAACCACATGGCATGCACAATGCAATGTAAGATGACATACTTAATGCAATGAACAATAAGCATGCGAACAACATGTAAAAAAACATGCTAAATGGACTTAAAGCAAAAAGGGGTAGACCTCAGTCATACGCAAATCAGTGGCCATAACACCAAAATAAAGGCACAAAATACAAAGTATGCATGCACAATGCATTGGCCATTCAACTAGGCCTAAAAGCACAACCCTCAAGAAGGCTCAAAGAGTGACAAGTGCAGAAGTGTAACAACACTAAATGCACTGAAATAAGGTATGAAATGATGCCAAATCGTTCAAACAAAGCAAGCATGTCATGCAAAGGTCCTAAAGCATGAAGGTTAACAAGGAGGACTACAAAGGAGGCATGCAATAAATGGCAAATATGCATGAACCAACCATGGACAGAGCTTAATTAGGTCTAAACAAAGACCAAAACATGCTAAGATGGAGGCTCAAATACCTAGGCAAGATGGCATACATACTAGGCCACATACTAGGCAACAATGCACAACACTTAAAGGCATTCAAAGCATGAAAGAAGTGGGAACATGGCAATGCTATAAGCTCTGAAATGAAGTATTAAATGATGCCAAATCATCTAAATAGCTCAAAGATAGCATGCATGAGTCAACAAAATACAAAGCTAGCAAGACCAATTGCACTACAGCTATACAAAGCATGAAGGATATGGCAAAGGCAACCCAAAACAGTCATAGAACATGTCAAAATGACACTAAAACATGCATGGAAGGAAGCCAAAACAAGCTAGCATGAAGGGCATAAGGCATGATGAATGCAAGGCAAATAAGGTGGATTACACTACACTTATTAAAACCAAGCATGGGATGACTTAACCAAAAAAATTCAGAGTTATATCATGGCAAGATAACCCCAAAAACACATTGAAATGATGGCTCGCAAATTAAGGCATGAAGGCATACGCAATGATTTATATTAAGGCATAAAGGGGGAAACCCTCCAACGCATTGAATGGGTGATAAATGCAAGTACATGAGCATGAAACATGGACTGAAATCACATAATAAATGATTCCAAATCATTCAAATAGTCCAAGTAAAGCATGCTAGTGGACTTGGTACACAAAGCTAACAAGCTAGATTGAACCATGGCTATACAAAGAAAGCCATGCATGGCCAAAAAAACCTAAATCAAAGCTAGAGGATGCTAAAACATGGACAAAATCTTCTTTAAGTTAAGCCAAAGGCATGCTAGAATGACATGTCAAAGCATGAGGCATGTTAGGCTAATTCATGGAAATGCACTACAAGTGCATGGAGCATGCAAGAGGTGACCAAACCAAACCCTAACAAAGGTATGACATGGCAAAACATCGCCAAAAACATGCTGAGATGGACTCAAATGAAGCTAGAATGACATGCTACTTCATGAAGCATACAAGACTAGTTTATGAAATTTACACTACAAGTGTATATGGCATGCAAGAGCCAACTAAACCAACCCAAAACAGATCTAAGGTATGTTAAAAAAACACCAAAAATCTACTGAGATGGCTCCAAAACAAGCTAGAAAGACATGCTCAAACATGAGGCACACAAAGCTAGTTTGTAAGATTTACACTACAAGTGTATTATGCATGCATGGGGTGACCAAGACAACCAAGAACAGTGACATGCCAACTCAAAATAACCCCAAATACAAGCTAACACAAGCTTAACAAACATGCTCAAACATGAGGCATATGAAGGCAAGTATTGAAAACACAAGGAGAGGGGATGGCCCTCTCCTATTAGGGACCTCAAAATCACCTTTCCACCACTGAAAATCCTTTGGATTTCAGTGGTAGAAAGGTCATGCAAAGGCTACAACAAGAGGTTAGACGGATGGCTCAAAACAAGGCCTAATAAGGCCTAAGAGGGGGTAGACAACCCCAAATACAAAAGTGACCTTAAACAAAGATCTAAAGTATGCAAAAATAGAACTCTTTGTAGTAGAAAGTTAATCTTAAATCATCATGAAAATAAGGCTAAAAGCTTAAGAAAAAATGGG